CTAAAGGAATTAGGAAAAGCTTCAAATCGTATTGAGCCCTGAAACTATTTCAGCRAATCGAAGTGAGGCAGTGGCGGATCCAGGATTTTTCAAAGGGGGTTCCGTTTCTTAAACTGTGTATAATTCTCTTTTGTTTAGTCAATGTTTGACAAAAAAATTGGCTCTAATCACCTAATTTACTATCTAGTAACGGCACTTAAAGGTAAATTAAACATTATAACAGCAAATATTTATCATTTCGTGTTCAACATTATCCTTGTGGATACTTTTAAGCAAAATTTATATAAGACGTATTTCTATTACCTAAAAGATCAAACCTTCAAGGGGGGTTCCGTGGACCCCTTCGACCCTCCTGGATCCGCCACTGTGAGGGAACTTGAATGTACATAACTTGAAGGAAAATCATCGACTCAAAGGAGTGAGTGACCTAACAAGATCTAATCATTTCTATTGATTTTATTTGTTCAAGTTTTAAATACTCCAGTTTTCACAAATTAGTTGTTTAATTCCTCTCCAGGTTAAACTCGATTTTTGTGCAGTCTAATATTCATGTGTTCCAGTGAAGGTCCTTGGAATTTCAAAGTGTTTGTATTGTTGAAGTTGTGCATTCTTCACCTTACCAATGGCATTTGTGAATATTCAGAAAAGTACACACAGAAATGAGGCGGCTATCCCTGAGTAAATGATCAGTCTGTAGTCAAAAAACATAGCGGTATTTTAGAAATTCGAACAAGGAAACTTCTTGTTGTCCTTCGTTATAGTTTCCTGTCCACAAGGATGGGTGACCTACAAGGGTTCAAGCTCCTGTTACCTAGCCGGCACCACGCCAACGACCAAATGGAACGAAACAAGAACAGCGTGTTTATCTATGGGAGGTTACTTGGTGAAGATAACGTCAGCCCAAGAAAACAAACACATGTATGTTCTTGCTCGTACTTACTCAAGTAGAAATAGTCTCGTAGTAATGAATTATGCGTTCGGTGTGTAAATAATGAAGTAGAGAGAATAAGAGAAAAATATTGATTGGCATTTGATATTTTTCTCTTATTCTCTCT